CAGCTATATAGGTGTATAGAGAGATACCATTATAGCACTGCGATAAACACTTACAAATAAGGCGAAATACGATCTAATAATATTATTATAACATATTTCTCAACATTATAAGTACAAATGTACCAAAAAAATGATTTAGATAAGAACTGTGTCGTGAATTAATCGTTTTTTTTTATTTAAAGAAAAATTGACGAATTAAAAAAAATGTATTATTATTATATTACTTATTATTATTTTTATTTYTTTAAATAACTTTCATGACAAATGCAACAATTTTTAACCATACTTGCATAATATGTAGACAGTCCTAAGTCTGTATAAAATGATTAAAATGAGGAGGAAAATGGAAAATGTTTTTTTCCAGAAACTAATTCGGAACGACTTGGGAACCAATTCGTAACAACCCGGGAACCAATTTGGATACACCGGGAAAACGGTATCTTGATTTTGGAGGAAAATGGAACCGCCGTTGCATATTACCTATTCGAACTATGATACACCCACAAGCATATCACGAACATATTTGATAACCCGTTGATAAACGATTCACCTATAACGCTATAAATTCTTACGATGAGTAGGCAACAGTCCAGTGTACACTATTACTAATTTTGTTTAAATAAAATATTATTAATATCTTATAATATAATTATAAAGTGTTTAATTTTTTAAATATTTTTTTTGTTACTCGTAATTCGTATCTATAATCTAAAATAATGCTAATAACTGTCTTAAAGCTACGTCAGATGATACGAAAAAAATTAATATGTCTGGAAAATTGGATGGCACATTTTGTATGCGCGAGTAAAAATAATTGAGAGTGTGTTTGCGTTTACCGAAAACCTCACGTTCGAGAAAACATACTGTATTGTAATAATATGTATAATTACTATTACAATAATAGTATGTAATCAGAAATTGTTTATGTTTCAGTGGTGTTTAAACGGTGCATTATAATCTATGTGAAAAAGGAGATAGCTGATGTGGATATTATTATTATTACACGGTGCTTTGAGGTAGGACGCTTTTGAAATTTATATTGCTTCCGCCGGTTGTTCATCTCTTTGTTGTTTCTATGTCCACCGCGAATGTATAATATAACTACGCAGTTTCCGTAATTAGTGTGTTTCATGTGTACACGCTTATATTATAATATATAGATATTATATTATTCGAAATTTCGGCTTTTGAGTTAATATACGCGCTCAGTTAATACTAGATGACCTTTAAATATTGTTCATCAATGAAGAGAATATAATATTTCCATAGTTTTTTGAATTCCAGAAGTTTAGATCATGTGTGTATGAAAATTGTATAATTTGATTCTATGTGTAATAATAATGTTATGATAACGATAGTGCTCCAACATGTAGCACGTTTTTCAGTAAATGCTGTTGGAAATTTTGGTTATTATCTTCATGTCAAGAAATAATTAATAACTCTGTTTAACAATTATTTTTAATGCGTATGGCCATCGCGTTAACGACATGTAATAAAATATAATAGTCGCAAAAAATAATTCGTCTCAAAGCAAGTAATAAAATATTAAAATGAAGAAAAACCAATAATATAATAGTAAAAAATAAACGCAATATAAGTATATCAATAATATTATTAAATGTCAATTATAAAATGGTGATTTATTATTTAATAAAATATTGATTAATAATTCTGTGCAATATATTACGTGTATTAAACATAAACTTAAAATTTTTTGTGAGCTGTCAATATTTAAATTAAATTAGGATTGGAACTACTCATCCATGTAATAAAATAATACAAGAAAATGTTGTGAATTCATTAATGTAGTTTTTGAATTCAATAGACCCGTGTTAATTCCTGACATCAATATTGCAGATTTAAAATCCTCACATTTTTCCCTACATATCATTAATTTATTAATGTTTTTATTTTTATGGAAAATTATGTAAAAAATAAATAACATAATTTGGTAACTTATAAAACTTAATGTATAAGTCAGTCTTCAATGTATGGATATCAAAAATATATGGCATAAAACAATGTGAGTTGTTTATTTAGTACCACAATAATTACTTACAATAGTGACGTTCAAAAGTGACGTTCAAAAGTATACAATTTTAAAATCAATACTGTTCGATCGATCGACTGTAGAATGATGACCAACTACGTCAGAACATTAATAATATTTACGTCACATAGTCGTGAGAACATTAGAGCTAGTCATTAAAAGATGTTTTAGTTAAAACTAAATGTGTTTTAATTTATTATATTTTATTAGAATTATTATTAGTTGTTTTTCTTTAGGATATCATAGTAATTTTAATTCACTTACTAAAAAAATCCTATGACTATAATATAATACTTAGAAATACTTACTGGTACTTATAACTCCAATTAATGTACTTAGATTGCCTATACAATACGCCGTCTTATAACTGGCTATATAATAATATGTTTATTCAATAGGTACTTATTTTTAAAAAATGTAAAAGAAAATATTGAATAGAAATCGATGAAAATCACAATAGAATAGAATATATATTACTTAAAATTAAATTATTCATAAAATATAAACAATAACTATATATTATTATTGTTGGCAATGTCTGGCTACATATGATTAAGTTGTTTTTATGAAGGAACTTCGTGAAACAGGCAAATTTTAAATTTTAAAAAGACCAATTCTGTAAAAACTATTATGAAATAATTGTAATTTCATACTTTGTATAGCTCTTGAAATATCCTTTAAAATACTTGCTGYGTCGGTCTATTAATGTCTTTTATTCTTCGTTCAGGGTCGTATTTAGAATTTGGGCACTGCGGAATACTTAAAAAATCTATCACACCTAAAATATGTTTAAGAGACACGGTGATATTATGCTTATGTAGTTACAAAATATTGTAGTGAAACATTCCAGAAAATTTTCAATTATAMATTGCTAAACGGCGTTAACGAACACTATAAAACGAACCTAATGGTATTAAACGCGAGGTGAATAACTTTTTAATCCCACGTAAAAAGTTAATTAATTTACTTATTTTGACGTTATTATTATTGAGTTCTAAAAAWAACATTTTCAGATACTTAAAACTCATTTAAACATTTTAAATGTCTACATAGTAACTTACACTAATTATTGATCGTGCAACACGTGCCTATTACAATCTTACATTTAGTATAATATTATGTAGTTTGTTTGTTTCTAAACGGCTATAATACATATTATCCAAATATGATTAATGTTGGAAAGCATAGCCGTATTGTTTTTGTACAAGTTTTGCATTAGCATGACATTTTAAAGTGATGTAGGTACTATATCAACTATTTTCAATACCTAGTAAGCATTTTAAAAACTTATTGAAACATTATTTTTATGTTTTTTTAAATCATGAAAATTATACATGTGTATCATGTATTCTCTGATACTTCGTTATTATATTTAATTTTTTTTATTGATCTCAAAAACCCTGCATCTTTGACCATTAGTTATAATGATTATAATCATTGCAGGTGTATATAAGGATGATACATAATATGAGTTATTTTTATACTTTATATGGGCTTACATTAAGTATATCGTTGTCAATATAATATTTTGTTTCACCTTTGAGTGTCTCATATTAAAACCAAACAAAAGACTGTTAATTTTTGACTCATTTCATTGGTCTAAATTATTCACAGTTTAAAAGCTCGAAAACTAGTATCTAGGCAATATCATTATTGCACCTATCCAATTTGATAGAATAAAAACCATCAACCGTTTTATTTATAAAAAAAAAATAGGAAAAGATTAATATTCAATCGATCTTCCGGGGAATCGATAAATTAGCAAAAGTCAGCAAAATGAAATAAGAGTTAAGCTAAAAAATATAAATGTAATCTTGTTTCTGAAACGCACTGTCTAAATTTTTTTCTAACCACGTGTGTTCCGACTGTTTAATAGATCATATTCAAACATTATAATTTGTTTAGAAAGACATTATTTTATTCAGAAGAAAAGAAAGTTAAATAAATACCGGTGTATAAAATGACTCATATGCGTAAAAATCACTGGCTTATGAACGATAGGAAATTAATTTAACTAAAACTTCATGACGAATAAACGACAAATTGAAAATGTCTATTCATGCACTACACGTCTACACGAGATAATTACTAGTTAAAATTATTGCGGGATTTTGTCTTGTAAATGTATACAATATAATTATAAATAGTACGATCGTACAATAAGACAGTCAGTTGCTTGCTTGTGTACCCTATACGTGTATTGTCCGTTCAATTAAAAATAATGATAATATAGAAAAAAGTGTATTTATTTAAGTAATAAATCATAGACTTACCTGTATATAGGTACACACATTACATTATGTATAAGTCGAGAACCGAAAATAAACGGTTCCTCTATAAAGTAAAATACATTAACTCTATAAATAAGCCACTAAGTAAAATAATATATTCATCTAGTGTGGGTGCACATAATGGTGGTGGAGAGGGGGTTCGGGTCAATGGTTCATAACTCTCACAAAATATTTTCCTCATCCGTGTAAATGTATTTCTACAAAATGTCTATCTTCAAGTAACTTCAAGTAAATAATATTAGCACAACCCTATCCGAAAAAAAATATCGCGCGTGTTTCTAAATTTAATTGTAATATTAGATATGTTTTTTTTTTTATTGCAGTAAGTTCTAAAACTTATAAAAATAATGGCCTCTTAATCAATATACAATTTATTGTATCCATTTTTTTTTTTTTTAGAAATGATGATTATATATTTCGTTACGATTTTCTAGTTCTGGGAGTCAGCAAAGGTCTATTCACATAAGACTGAAAACAACTATAACAAATTTCCACCCGCGGAAACTACTCCTCTCTTTGTGCTCCCTGCAGATAATATCATAATATCATTATACCAATTCCACGACCGGCCCTGCAGCTGCGTTTCGTAGTGATACCTAAACCACGATCATGACCACAACAATACGTATAATTATGTAATATTATATCATAGCGCTCACCCAGCCACGTGAGCCACTTCATTATCTCCTTCAGTATGTCGTACTCTAAAAAATACGGCGTGATCAGGTACACGATGAAGAACGGCAGCCAGCAGGCGATGAATCCACCGACAACGATTGACAGCGTCTGCGCCGTTTTGTTCTCGCGCTTCAGCGAAACTCGACAGTCGTCACCTCTGCGCAAACTGACATTATAGCTACAACATTGTCGTCGGATATGATTAACGTTAATATGAATTAATTATAGGCACGTTATAATAATAAAATATGTAATAATGCGGTTATATTAAAATAATATACGCATATTATGTATAGAGATGTGCAAGTGGCAGTCTGTTCGACCGCGATCTATTTACCTAACGCGCACGATTTCATCCATTTCCACCGACGGTCTTTCCATCGATTCGTGACTGTAACGGGATATCTGAAAAATCAACGATAAATTAGTTACATAATATGGCTTCGCACTGATATTTTATGCTGTACATGTACCTGTCTTGGAAATATAAACAAATGTGGGCTTATTAATCATTATAAATAAATCGATTGTAATAAATAATGGTATGGGGAAACTTCAACTGTTAAACATATTATTCTCCTATACTGTTGAAACTACGCGGACACCAGAACAGCCTTAAGTATACCTGAGCATCTATATGAAGCACTTGGACCCGATCACGAAAACACTATCAAAATCATAAAGTTTCCTAAAATAACCAAATTGTATAACCTTATCTGACATTTGTATTTTTTATTTGTATCTTTCTCTCACTTCCAATGCTGTACTTATATATTTTAACGTTATACCTTTATAAATAATCTACATTGTACTTAATATATTCATAATGTTATTTAGCATCTAATTTAATATTTACATTGTACAATATGCCAATAACCTTGGTTGTTGCGGCTTTAATAAATAATAATAAAAAAATAATAATAATAATATTAATAATAGCCTTATATAACAATATATCGTGGAAAAGKTAAAATGTACGATAAATCTAATAATGTTTCTACCAAGTATCAATAGGATGTATTTTTCAAACACAAATATATATTTTTAGTTTTTTACTATTATTAATTGAACCCGCTGCAAGAATGGCATCTGGGAGACATTAAAAAAGTACTCATTATAATTAGGTTAACTTAAATACTGGATAGAAATATTATAATAAGTGGGTAAAGTTATATCGTGTTGAGAAGATTGTCGGTATACGTCGACGATGAAGTTGGTTGAAGTGTAAGTTGAATTGTGATGATGAGAATAAATCAATAAGCTTATAGTAGGTATCTATTTTCTTTGAACTGGGCTACGGTAAAAATATATTTAACAACCTTAAGGACTCCGCACGCGGTGCATATCGGGTTGTCGTTTTTTGCCATTAAGTWAGGCGATTATGCCTACGAATTTTCGAATTTTCATTTATTGGTGAAAAGCCCAGTAATCTACATTTTGTTTAATTTCGTTTAATTTGGTAGTTTGAGATGACCACTGTTGATACCATTAACGTGTGCATTTGTTTTTAACTATGGCTTGTATATCATTGAAACACAAATACAATTATTTTGAATTGTATTAATTGTGTYAATAATCTATTAAGTATTTGATAATCACAGTGAGTATATTATATTATAAATCATTAGAAAGTAAATTTATATATGTACATCGAACTTCTATAAAATATCAGAGCCACCTATTTTTTTCTTCAGATAGAAATCACACCAATTAGTTACGTTTTACGTCAAAATTGTATCTTAAGAGTTTTTCAGATTTATATGCATTATATTTCGTTATCTTTGTTTTCCACACGAATAACGAAACAAAAAACAATACTTCTGCGTTTAGCGCGAATTCATTAATAACGTCTAAGTGATTTCTGGGTTAAAAACTTACAACACACGACGTTAYAATATATTTGATGAGACATAATTTATGTTGTATAACAGTGTTTTAATACAATATTACAATAATATTTTGTAAGTGTAGGTATAATAATATAATATAGTCTTCAATTTATCTGAAAAATTAAGACAAATCGGTTTTTATGATAATTTAAAACACTAAACTACGTGGTTATACGTAGAAAATAAAGTACTTAATAGTCCACTGAAAGTCCATAGAAAATCAGTGTTCAAAAGATTAGGAATTTTCACTACCTTTAATACTATTGAATTTTTTTGTATGAATGACAAATATTACATAATATTATATCCTGTAGAATATAATATTATGTCACGCTGACTTGTTGAACGTCAAATAAAATAAAAATACACGTACATTTTTTAGAAAAAGTTTAGGTTAGGTTAGTGTAGCGATGATACATTGATATTATATCCTTATGAACCGAGTACGAGCAGTTGTAAAACTATTTACGGTAAACAATAAATAAATAGTATTTTAAATCATTTTTTTATTTGCTTTCACTATTATTCATATAAATTCTATATGAGATCATATTTTAACACGATGTGATTATTAATTACATATTAACGAATATTTTATTTTTTGCTCTCAATTTTTTTTTTACAAATATTCAATCCTTAGTCCTTGAAGTCATACAAGTTTTTTAGTGTTGTTACCTGAATAATATATTATTACAAGAAAAGTTTTGGCGTGCTGAAATTYGAAATTAATTTTCAAAACAAGTAATTTTACGAGTGCAATTTACAGACACCGATTCGTCGGTGTCTAATAACATTAAAATACTTAAAGTAAATTAAACTTTAGAGAAAATCAAAAATGCTCATGCAACAGTTATTGAATTTAAATAAGTTAACTTTAAACCTTCTAATTAAAATTAGTGAGATCAATATAAAATATAATACTAAAAATAAAACCTCAACCAAAAATAAAATAATACCCATAGTGCCTCTTCCATTTTATATTGACATTTTTTGTTCATTAAATTATTTTCGAGAACTACACTTAAATTAAAACTAAATTGATTTAATTGTACTTAAAGGATTTTGCTATAAAATGAATTTTGAATCCCAAGCTGAGTGATTAGTGTTGATTTTACAATGACATGTTTTTTTTATGCCTGAAGACACTATTTAAAGTAGAAAAATTTCATACATTTTTAACTTCAATATTTTTTCTGATAGGTAAGTGATTTTAATTGGTACTTTAGGGATTAGATGTAAAAAATGTCCAGTACAATTTTTAATAATTAGTAAAACAAAACATCTAAACTAATTTTTGATATAATATAATTTCTCATTATGATGTAATTTAATGAAAAATGAATAACTGTTGTAGATATTTATTGAATTATAAGTACAATTGTCTATGCCTACCTTAATATCCTAAATAATGTTAATTATTGATAAGAAATTGTTTGATTGATAAAAAAGCTTAACAATGTAATACGAGATTCTTTATAAGATTTTATCATAACTATTCAAAATTAATGGTGATAGACATGATTTTCTCTTCATTGATATTTGATGTTCATATTTGGATGAAATTAGATATATAAACAAAAAATAACAATTTAATTATTTTGTTGTAATTCAAAAATATTCAATGGAACTTGAAACTTTTACGTATATTATTATGTCAAATAATTTAATGTGTATATAATTACGTATATAGTTTTATATTATATACAATGACTGTCAACATTTTTAGATTAATATTCGATTTTGGTTTATTTGTACCACTAATCAATTCAATATTAATACCGTTATACGTTAATACGGTAGGTACTGATTAAAATTAACCTATTATACTTTTATTACTGATTTCAAAACCAAATAACTATAATAGCTATATAAAAATATATACTAAGCCTCCTCTTAGAATCGTTTTTTGTATATTGCAATGATATATCACTGAATTCAAATTTAACACATCCATAATAGTGACGCACAATACCCTTATTATGTACCCATGGTGATTTTTTTATTTTCCGACGGGGCCAATAGGCTTAGTAATATGAAAGTTTCACTGTAAATCTAATAATAATACAAAAAGGCAGTCAATACGATTACCTATATAAAATAAAATCAGGTTAGAATAATTCAAAAACAAGGAATACAATTTTGAAACACTAGAGAAACAAGTTGGTATTTAGCTAATAATATCTGTGAATGATTTTTGTATCCCAACAATCTCCGGTAACCCTCCAAGAAGGTTAAAACGTAAATGGTGCCGTGACTTGCTTGATATATAAATTATGTTATAATAAAAAAAAAAATAAACATATATACAGTATATATATACATATATATTAACGTACTATGTTAAAGTCAAAAGTAAGTGTCATTAATGGGTGGCTACTCTCCTCAAACGTAACATATTATGTATATTGTATATAATTTATTGTAAACTGTTTTAATATTAATATTAACTATGTTTTATACCTTATATGTCTATTTGTATCAACATTTATTAATTGTGCCATGAGGTATAGATTGTAAATTTCATATATAAAAAAAAAAATTAATATACTTTATCTCATGGTTTATTTATAAATTACTAGCTGGCCCCGATAACATCGTTGACCGTTGAAAATCCCAACTCTATGTGAGCCTTGATGTACATTCACTGCATTGTGCGGTATGAAGGTACCGCGAATATTACAAGCCTCAAACTATCATTGTTTAGTCTACGTTGTTAAGTCAGTGATCCGATAATAATAACACCCCTTAACAGTATTTTTTAATTTTTTTTGTACAATTTTGTAGAACCAAAATAAAATTGTACAAAAAAAAAGTAAAAAATACTGTCAAGGTTAGGTATTATTATTCGAAAGTGGTCAGTACGTCACCATCACAGTGTACGAACGTCACTAGCAGTTAGTATATTATTAGGTAGGCAATCGCAATCTATAATATTTCTTACTCTAAAGTTTCAAAGTTATACCAAGTTATCAATTGTTAAATTTTTCTTAGCTTTTCTTTAGGGTTTTCCTTATTATTTTTATTTTTTTATACCACCTTTGTATTGAAGCGAAAAAAATTGAAAAAAAAATTCCAATCGGTCAAGTTGTTCTTAGAGTTTTAGTGAGACTAACGAACAGCAATTCATTTTTATATGGATGCAGTATTATCTTTATTATTTATATAATGTTTTTTTTTGAAATAAATGATTGTATTGGGTGAGACAATTCTATTGATGTAACGTATTTTTATTGTTTTTATTTAGTTCTAGAGCGTTTGTTTATGTTAACATTATGTTATATTGTAATATCAATATACAAAATATGCTAATATAATACTTAACACTTTAATGGTAAATGTTTACTAAGACGCTTTAGAAAATTATTAACGCAATTAAATTTGAAATTCGTTTGATCTATATAGTTTCGTTGATTAAAATAAAATAAGACAAAAAAAAGCGGGTTGGGTTACTGTAATGGATGGTATTAAATTTGAATTCAATGATGTAATATCATTGTACACGAAAAAAGGATTTTG